CTCCATTCTATTTCTAAGATTTTGGATCATCTTGACTATCATTATTCTGATTTCTTTTTCAGGTAGACTGCCTATTTCCTCTTCATTTGTTAGGTCTGGTGGGTTTTTGCCTTGCTCCTTCATCTGCTGTGCATTTCTTTGTCTTCTCATTTTGCTTAACTTACTGTGTTTGGGGTCTCCTTTTCGCAGGCTGCAGGTTCGTAGTTCCCATTGTTTTTGGTGTCTGTCCCCAGTGGCTCAAGTTGGTTCAGTGGGTTGTGTAGGCTTCCTGGTGGAGGGGACTAGTGCCTGTGTTCTGGTGGATGAGGCTGGATCTTGTCTTTCTGGTGGGTAGGTCCACGTCTGGTGGTGTGTTTTTGGGTGTCTGTGACCTTATGATTTTAGGCAGCCTCTGTGCTAATAGGTGGGGTTGTGTTCCTGTCTTGCTAGTTGTTTGGCATAGGGTGTCCAGCACTGTATCTTGCTGGTCGTTGAGTGGAGCTGGGTGTTGGCATTGACATGGAGATCTTTGGGAGATTTTCGCTGTTTGATGTTATGTGGAGCTGGGAGGTCTCTGGTGTACCAATGTCCTGAACTTGGCTCTCCTACCTAAGAGGCACAGCCCTGACGCCTGGCTGGGGCACCAAAAACCTGTCATCCACATGGCTCAGAATAAAAGGGAAAAAAAAGAAGGAAAGAAAGAAAAAGATAAAAAAAGGTATTAAAATAAAAAACAAAAAATAATTATTAAAAAAAATTTTTAAAGTAAGTAAGAAAAGAAAGAAAGAACAACCAAACCAAAAAAACAGATCCACTAATAATAAGCACTGAACACTATACTAAAAAAAAAAAAAAAAAAAACGGACAGACAGAACCCTAGGATAAATGGTAAAAGCAAAGGTATACAGACAAAAATCACACACAGAAGCATACGCATACACACTCACAAAAAGAGAAAAAGGGAAAAATAAAAAATATATATATATCGTTGCTCCCAAAGTCCATCTCCTCAATTTGGGATGATCTGTTGTCTATTCAGGTATTCCACAGATGCAGGGTACATCAAGTTGACTGTGTAGATTTAATCTGCTGCTCCTGAGGCTGCTGGGAGAGGTTTCCCTTTCTCTTCTTTGTTCCCACAGCTCCTGGGGTTCAGCTTTGGATTTGGCCCCGCCTCTGCATGTAGGTTGCCTGAGGGCATCTGTTCTTCCCTTAGACAGGACGGGGTTAAAGGAGCAGGTGATTCGGGGGCTCTGGCTCACTCAGGCCAGGGGGAGGGAGGGGCACGGAGTGCGGGCGAGCCTGCAGCAGCAGAGGCCGGTGTGACGCTGCAACAGCCTGAGGAGCGCCGTGTTTTCTCCCGGGGAAGTCATCCCTGGATCACTGGACCCTGGTAGTGGCGGGCTACACAGCCTCACGGGAGGGGAGGTGTGGAGAGTGACCTGCGCTTGCACACAGGCTTCTTGGTGGCTGCAGTAGCAGCCTTAGCGTCTCATGCCTGTCTCTGGAGCTCCTTTAAATGGCATTCTTAATCCCCTCTCCTCGTGCACCAGGAAACAAAGAGGGAAGAAACAGTCTCTTGCCTCTTTGGTAGCTCCAGACTCCTTCCTGGACTCCCTCCCGGCTGCCGTGGCACACTAACCCCTTCAGGCTGTGTTCACGCAGCCAACCCCAGTCCTCTCCCTGGGATCTGACCTCCGAAGCCCGAGCCTCAGCTCCCAGATCCTGCCCGCCCTGGCAGGTGAGCAGACAAGCCTGTCGGGCTGGTGAGTGCTGCTCGGCACCAATCCTCTGGGCGGGAATCTCTCCGCTTTGCCCTCCACACTCCTGTTGCTGTGCTCTCCTCTGTGGCTCCGAAGCTTCCCCCTCCGCCACCCCGTCTCCGCCCACGAAGGGGCTTCCTAGTGTGTGGAAACCTTTCCTCCTTTCACAGCTCCCTCCCACTGGTGCAGGTCCTGTGCCTATTCTTTTATCTGTTTTTTCTTTTTTCTTTTGCCCTACCCAGGTACATGGGGAGTTTCTTGCCTTTTGGGAGGTCTGAAGTCTTCTGCCAGTGTTCAGTAGGTGTTCTGTAGGAGTTGTTCCACGTGTAGATGTATTTCTGATGTATTTGTGGGGAGGAAGGTGATCTCCACATCTTACTCTTCCGCCATCTTGAAGGAAGTTCATCCAGCATAACGTTTTAAGGTTCATCCATGTTATAGAATGCGTTAGTACTTCAATCCTTTTCATGGTTGAATAATATTCCACTGTATGGATTTACTTCATTTTGCTTATCAATTCATTAGTTGATGGACATTTGGGTTGTTTCCATTTTGGGGCTATTATGGATAACACTGCAATGAGCATTAGTGTACAGGGTTTTTAAAAAAATATCTGTCATCTTTATTTCTTTAATTGAACTGAGCATTTCTTAAAAAACTGGGTTATCCTTTTTTAGTATTTTAAAAAAATAACCATTTTATTGTCATATAATTTATATACTATACAATTCACCCATTTAACATGCACAATTCAATGGTTTTTAATATAATCACAGAATTGTGCAACCATCTGCTTATACCTCCAATAAATCTATCATTCTCTCACCTATTGCCTTTCAACCACAAACTCCACTGTTCTTGACAGCACCCTCAAGGTTGAACTTTTTCACACTTTGTTGCAAGTCAGTTCCTTTGGGAGAGATTCAGAGTTCTCTATTCTATGGTTTTCTCCCACTCCCAGGCAAAACTCAGAGGTGTAGCTCTGGTGCTGGGGACAGGGACCATGGTGTCCACTACTTTCTGAGTGACATACCCACTTTAGGTGCTGAATGCTTCTGGAAGGAGGGGTATTAGCCGCAGGTCCTCTCGGCATGGAATCTCCACTTCTAAACTGGAGCAAGGACAATCAGTGCCCCAGTATTCTCATTGGTGCCATACTCAGTATAGTGTACCCATCCCACGAGTGGGGGCTGAATGGAAGAATGAAGGCCCCACTTCTCACCCACACTCCCCTGGAATACAGCCTTACCATCAGATAGCTAGGAGGCAGAATGAGAAACACTGATATCCTGCCTCTCACAGGAAGACAGCCCTCCTACTGGGAGCTGTGGGGAGATGGAACTCTAGTTATTTAATTTACCAGTCTAAAGCAAAGTTTCCATCTTACTGAGCTAGGAGCAGAGAAGGGAGTAATCTTGGTTCAAATATCAAAGACTTGCTGTTCCTACCAAGACTTCAGTATATTTTCTCAAATAATGTTTCTCCATTTGTTTTGTACCCTCAGGACCACTTCCAGAAAATTGAAATGCTCTCTTTTAAATAATTTTCACCAGTTTTTCTGGGGAGCAGGGCTGCAGAGCTCATGTTGTCATGCTGGAAGTGTAACTCCTGAAGCTCTGATGTACAGGTATTTTGAGTGGACATATGTTTAAAATACTCTTGGACATGTATCTAGGAATGGAACTGCTGTGTCATTTAGTAACACTACTTTTCTATGATTTTACACACTGTCCTTCTAAACACTGAGACTACAAGGAGAGTCAGAATTTTCTCTGAGCCAATCACACAAACCTGTGTTTAACACTGTTTCTTCCGCTTACAAAGACGGCCATGTGGAGACAGAGCATTCTGTATGCCTTCTATTTGGAACATGTGATGCACCACTAGCTAGAGATGAGCAGCAAAATTCCCCTCCCAAACCCTGATCTCCTTCGTGATAAATATTACCCTCAATGAAACAAGGGGCTAGTTAAAATGCTATACTGTCTGCTCTGTCTCAGATTTTGTACTGTATAACACAACAGGCTTTCACTGAAAGTAGAAGTATGCAAACGTTTTCAAAGAAGGTAAAATTTCTAAAGAAGAGTCTGGGGTCTATCTCTGGATATTCTTCACTGAAGAGGTGTTATTATCAAGTAAGGGTATTTTATATTAACATAATACAACATTTTTCACAAAAGCAAGCTTGGAAGCAGAGATGAACATTTTAAACATCAAAATAATGTGGATTAAAACAAAATATGCATCAATTTTTGAGATAAAACAGAACATTTCAAAGAGCTGTTTGAGCTTTCAGCTACCACTTTTTTGCCCTCATATTCTTTAGGATATACACTGTACTCACTTATCACAGTAGTTAGAAGTACTTAGGTAGAAGCATGTGAGAAGCCTGCCGCAAACAATCACGTTATAATGACAAATACACAAACATACACACACACACACACACACACACGCACCCCATCCTATTTATACTAAAAACCCCTTCAGGGGCTTCCCTGGTGGCGCAGTGGTTGAGAGTCTGCCTGCCGATGCAGGGGACACGGGTTCGTGCCCCGGTCCGGGAAGATCCCACATGCCACGGAGTGGCTAGGCCCGTGAGCCACGGCCACTGAGCCTGCGTGTCCGGAGCCTGTGCTCGGCAACGGGAGAGGCCACAGCAGTGAGAGGCCCGCGTACCACACACACACACACACACACACACACACACACACACACACAAAAACCCCTTCAGGATAGAACTATAGCCACTATTCTGCATATTACCAATAAGCTTATTAAAGCATGCTACTCACAGGGAGGACTAAATATGTAATATTTTAAAGCAATCACTGGCAGTAAGGCTGATGAGACTGAAAACGAAAGGATCAGTGATCTGATCTCTTTGCCGAGAGATCAGCTTACATATTCTAGCAGAAATCTGAATAGGAGAAAGTATGCTGACCCTTCACCACTTGATATTTAAATAAGTTGCATTTAATACTGGAGTCTGATTGAATAAAAAGTAAATAAACTTAAACTATTTGTCTGGGAGAAAAAAAAAAAAAACCAACTAGACTGAAACATGTCAGTTTTTAATCATTTTATCATTCCCAACCTCAGCTATTGGCTGGAGTTTGTTCTTTAGCCATGATATAATCAAACTGATATAAAATAACCATATATTTTTGTAAATGTTGATTTAACTGATAGGAAAGAATACACTCTTAATTTGTGAACATAAAAGTATAACAAACACAAACTCGTAAACGAACTAACCTTGAGGTTCACTGACCAACACCAAGCATTTTAATACTCCTGGGAGGAGCAGTTCAACCTCGGAAACATCAATGTTAGTTTCCTTAACAAGTTGGAGGATGAAGGCCAGAATGGATGCTAAGCGAGGAGGGAGCAAGGATCCTTTAAACTCAAAGTAGGATTTCCTGAAAAGAAGCATAATTTTATTTTTCCTTCTCTTTAAAGTTTTAATAGAGCAGAATCAAATGTCATACACTTTAAAGATACTGGCCTATTTTAGCTCCCAAATTAGTAAAACACAATTTTTAAAAAGTATGTATATTTTACCATGTTTTCTTCAAACCTAAGATTTTTGAAGCAATGACTGCACATCCTTTTGGCGTGCTATAAGGGCCAAAGCAGAATACAGATACAAACAAAATATAAAGCAACCTGGTCTTAAAATATACTTAATACACTTAATCAAAATCTAATAAAAATCTAACTTTGTAATATAAGCTTGATCTCCTCTATCAGCTCCTCAATGATGCAACATTTTCTCTAACGTCAAATTTGCATAAAGATTCTCTCCTCATATTTATTTACTTAGGGATTTGAAGGGGGGTCTTATATTTCCAAATAAATAAGAGGACTATACTAGAAATCATCTTCCCATTCCAGCCTACCTCCTTCCTTCCCTTATGAAGTAAAAGAATCAAAGAGGTAATTTAGGATATAATATCTTCTCTTAAAGCAGGACAATTTTTAGCATTCGAACTCAACAGAGGTCGTAAAGATAATTTATCTGATTCATTTTTGTATCTCTACCTCTTAGAACAGGTCTCAGCTCATAACAGGTGTTCAGTGTACTTTTTTTAAGTGAATAAATGAAAGTAAAAATTGTTCAGTTTCTAAAAAGTCAAGACAATATGAACAAATGTCAGATATAGCTAAATCTAAGCTAGACATCTAAATATACTTGCAAAGCAATAATAATTTGCCAAAATGGGGCATAGAAATCACTAAAGATTATAAATTCCTTAAGGGCAGAACTATGCCTTCATCATTTCTACTCTATACAATGACTTCCAACAAACATTATATATTACAAAATTCATTCACTCTTTGAGCAGCAAGGGTTTTTTATCTGTTTTGTTTAATAATGAATTCCCAACGCCTAGAAAAAAGATTTATTTAGTACATGGTGTGCCAGGTACAAGTCTAAGAACAAGAGTATAAAATATGGTTTCTGAAAGCATGGGGTTCACTGTTCAGTGGAAAATTTAGATTAAAAAAAAAAAAAGGACAATTATAATACAGTGTGACAGGTGCTTTGAAAGATAATCCCAGAATTCTTAGGAATTCAGTAGAAGAGGCCCTAAGATGGGGAACTCCAGGAGTAGAAAAGCTTGGAATAGAGGAAGTCATAGGAGGCAATCTCTATTTCTTTCCTGAGTGTTTAAAAAGACAGAAAAAGGAATTGTTACGTGTTTAGGTATTCAACTAGAAATCATAAGAAAAACATTTTTTACTGTATACAAAGTAAATAGGAAAGTCAAGGAAAGCAGCCAAGATCCTAAACACTGGGCTTTAACGACTTTAAGACCTTAAGGATTCGATTTCACTTCAGCACTTGTCGTTTGGTTTGTACTAAAATTACCTATGCAATGTCTCAAACACAGTGGTAGCGTACTATAATCTTAGAAATTCAGACACAAGTTAGGCAAAAATATCATGATTCTGTGAATTGAATCATCAAGAGCACGTGACTCCAGAAGAAGGAAAGAAGCATCATGGTACACTGAGATATTAGGTGTAGGTCTCATAAAGTCTAGGTAGTATTTAGCCCAGAGGGATGGCATTTTAATGGAGAAAATGGTATGAACAAAGCTGTGAGGTAGGGAGATGTAAAGCATTTTGGGGGGTGATAATTAAACCCATCTCATTAGGGCTTGTAACAATATATGATGCCATATGTATTACATTTGGAAAAGTTAAGTGACAGATCACGGAGAGCTAAGGAGTATGGAGTTTATTCCACAAGTCAAAAAGGAGTGAATAAAGGTTTGAAGGCAGGGAAGTGTCATACTGGAACAGTATTTTAGGAAAAGTAATCTGGGGGAATTGTTTACGTGGGACTGGAAGAAAAGACAAGAGATAAGTGAAAGTAGTTAGGACACTGGCAATAGTCCAGGTATAATGTGATAAGAGAAAAGACATGTGAAAAGGGAAGGAAACAATCATTTGCCAAAGGCTGGAAAAGGGGAGGGAACAAAGAATGTAAAGCTTTCAAACCTGAGTAACAGAACACTAGCAACACACAGAAAAGGTCAGAAGGCAGAACAGATCTTAGACATGGGATTCTGTCATGTGAGGTGATGGATAACATTCGGACATTAAAGCTACCAGATCATTAAAAACACAGGAAAGAAAACTAGACAAGAATAATCTATATCACCACAGCATCTTAAAGTTTAAAAACTAATTTCATGTGAAGCTAAATACCTCATGAAGACCAAAAAAAAGATAATTTCTACTGTTATAGTTAAAAGATATTGGAGTTTAGTAGAAAACCTAAGAAGTTTCATTGATTCATCTGCCTAATAATAAACTGAGTTATTAAGACAGAGTAGACTAACAAAAATAGGACTTCATATTGCTTCCTTTTTCATATTAGCATTTATCTTTTCACTTAACCATCTTTTATAAAATACAATTACTTCATTTTGTACAGTACAAAATACAATTAGTGTTTATCTGATGAAAATATATATATACCTTTGGGACATGTATAAGAAAAATAATAGCTACATAGAGAAAACAAGCAATGTAAAGAGCACTGTCTTAGGCTGACAAGTCATTCTGGTAAATTCTTAGATAATGCTTCTCAAAAAAGTTTCTAAACTCAGTATCCTAAGGATTGCCAATACTTTTGAGATGCTTTGTTATTTTTTTATAGAGAATAATAAATTGTAAATACCACCTATTTTTAATATTTAGATGTACCTTATGACTTGTACAATGCATTTCTTTAGAGATGACATCGGTGGAACAGTGGCTGAGTTTCTCAATGCCAACAAAACAGGATGTTGTCCAAGACCTAAAACATGTGGTGAAGCTGGAAGAAACCGCCCGATATACTGCTCAATAACATTCCCTAGTAACTGAGTCAAATAGGCATTTGGATTTTGAGACTGACAACACACGATACACATGCCCTACAGGAGAAAAAAAAAAAAGAGAGAGAAATACTAAAAGGTAAAGTTAAAAAAAAGATTTAGGACGTTACTAATTTTGTCCCAAGCATTTATATCAGAATTTGTAACTTATCACAATCAACAAGAACAACTTCCATCATCAACAGGTAATGTTTGTATGAAGCTCAGGGAGCAGCTGACCTTGGGTAACACCTATGCAGTGGTACCTAACCAAGCATACATGTATTGGGGGCACACCCAGAGGAGGCAGGGAAGAAGAGTAGGAAGACAGATGAAGCTTCCTTCTGCCTCTCATCTTTAGAAAATTTCACCACCAAACTCATCAGCTACATATATATGTATTACAAAGTTATAAAATACATTTTAGTCTATTTTTAAACTTATGGTACTGCTCATTTTATCTGAGTAAGACAGTAAAATGTAGGCTAAAAATTTTCAATGTTAAGAAATGTGATAAATTTTAAAAAAATAACAAAAGGAGAGAAATGCAGAAGATTAAGACTCAGAATAATGACAATTTATTTTGAGGTTTTTGTATGTCAGGCACTGTGCCACATGCTTTATATTCATTATTCCATTTAAATTTTTCAAAAAACAGCCCCACTGACTTAGTGTTATTTTATCTCTGATTTTACAGCTGGAGAAATTGAGGTTTAGAGAAGTTAAGAGTTTGATCAAGGTCATACAGAACTCACAATGTCTTGTTATATGTCTGCTGATTTAATCCCTTCTATTTATATAGAAGTTAATGAGATACTTTCATATGGACTGCAGTATTTGATACTTACAAACAAACCAACACCCTGAGAAATAAAATTCTTTCCTGTTAATATTACTAAATATTGCATTTTACTAAATAATCACCAACAGAGCAACAAATTATGCTCTAAAAGTTCATTAATAATTTGGTACTTTGTGATTCACAATGTGGTTTTTCCAGAGAAATAATCAGAAATGACTGTCATGTCTCCATTTTAACTTTAAATGGTATTTACCCAATAGGAGATTTTGAAAGTTTATTTCTAATGAAAAATAGCACAGAGCTGTTAAAAACATAAGCACTTGAATAACAATTGAAAAAAAAAAAAAAAACAATGGACTCCCCCACCCCTACAGAAGACAGATGAAGAAGAGGAAAAGCTCTGTTTGAGGAAAAGCATGTTATATCAGAAGAAAATAAAGTAATAAATGGATATTTTAAAAAAAATTCTGAAAAGGAGAGCTTATACCTTTAAGAAATTAAAGATATAGCTCCAAGTCAGTTCTGCCAAATGGATAATTTACCAAAATTTTCAACTTAGGAAGTTTATAAGAATTCTTATTAAGTGGACTGTTTTGGTTTCAGAGGGCCGCATGGAGCAAGCACTCCACACTGCTATTGACATAAGCAGCCACCATGGAATCTAGGAAGTGTTCTATTTCTGTTACTCTACAGCACATACTCAGCAACTTTGTGACTGGAGATCCTAAATGTTTCTAAAATCTGCTGTGCACCTGTATACCCACTGCCTTAGTTCAAAACCTTCAGATAATGAACTACTCACTACCTTCCAAGTCTCCAATCTAACCTCCACACCAACCTAAACATTGACCAGAATCACCTTTCTAAAAATGTAAATATGGTATGTCACTCCCACTTTTTTGCCCCAAATCCATCAACAGTCCCCATGTATTACAAGAACAAGTCCAAACTTCTTAGTATGCCACACAAAACCCTTCACTATGTGGCCCCTCCTGTATGAGCCTCCAGCCACACCAGAATTATTTGCTTTTTCCCCATGTGTCATATTTCTTATAGATTATGCCCTCTACATGCTGTTCCCTCTGACAGGTACAGTCCTTCAACTCCTACCCTCTCTGCTCTTTAACACCTAATATCCTTTACTACAGCTATCTTCTCTTGCATCTCCTCATCCCCGTCTGGCTGACGGATAGCTGAGGCCTCTAAGGAAAATACTGAGCACGCTGCTGGGAGTGTCTCTGCTGGTTGGTCTCTTCTCTCAACTTTAAGTTTCTTGAGGGTGGAGCTTTTACCTCTTCCATCTTTGCATTCAGAGCCCAAACCAAAAGGAATTTTAAACCTGTTCAATGGAAGTGCAACATCACACATGTACATTAGGATTACAATGTATGGTTTTGATACCTGCAATTAGTAAACTGTTTTAAGGCAGGTGTCAATTTTTTTTTTTTTTTTTAACTTTTAAGTAGGCACCCTTACTATACCTGGAGATACAAAGGAAGACTCTTCTGAATTGCAGTCAACATAGGTGCAGGCAGCTCCTTCTCTTGCTGTAATACTGTATGTGGCAGCAGTAAACAGTCTATGATCCTGAATAGTAATTTTTGGGCTTTAGAGGTGGCAAAGATCTGTGCCCATGATTTCACAAGAGTTCCTAACACAGAAGAGCAGTAAGAGAAATTATGGTTATCTTCTAACCAGAAAATTTTGTCATTCCACTGAAAAAAAGTATATTTATAACACGTAGGACCAAGTTAAAGTTGGCAATAGGAAGAAACATGTATTAAGAGTCAAAAGACTTACGCCAAGTATTTCGCTAAAGAGACAACTCTCTGAGTTCTGGGCCAAGAGAAACATACATTTCCTGAGCAACTGGCATTTAATACATACACACAATGTGTGGTTATACATTATGTGAATATATAGATTGAATGTTGCAATTAACCAGATCTCTCTTTTTGCTTTGGTTGCTAGGAAACTCAGAGGCAAATTTATAGTTCAGCTTTAAGAACACTGTAAGGTCATATATTATGCTTTTATGTATATATTCACTTTTCCCTGGGTTTCATCATACTACTCTCCATTTTATTGATACCCTTATTTCTTCATATTTTACATTTAATTTACAGGCTGTCTCAACCCAGTTTGCAACAAGAAGAGGTATAACTAAATTTAATTGTTAAAGCAGGAAAAATGATTAGCTGTAACATCTTGAAGCAATCACTTAACCTCCTGGAACTTCAGTTTTTATAAGTTTCAGTTATTTAACATGAGCAAAAAATGAATTTAAATTTTGATTCAAAAGAAGAGAAACAGGGCTTCCCTGGTGGCGCAGTGGTTGAGAGTCCACCTGCCGATGTAGGGGACATGGGTTCGTGCCCCGGTCCGGGAAGATCCCACATGCCGCGGAGCGGCTTGGCCCGTGAGCCATGGCTGCTGAGCCTGCACGTCTGGAGCCTGTGCTCCGCAACAGGTGAGGCCACAACAGTGAGAGGCCCATGTACCGCAAAAAAAAAAGAAGAGAAACAGACTTCTTTACTACACGAAATATATTATGGTTGCTTTGATGATGGGAGTCTGTCAATTGCTACATTTAATGATAGTAAAACTTATCAAATGAGCACCTTTTGTTTAATAAAATAATTAAGAGCAGATATATACTTTCCTTTAGAGTATATTACTGCAATTGAGGTCTCCTTTACTGAAAAATATGAATTTAAAAGGAGAACATTAAGTACTTGTCCAAACAGCAATGGTACATGTGCTGCATAAACTGTTATCTTTTATTCCATCTTAGAAAAGCAAAAAAGATGATAAAATTCAAAGTCACTTCCATAAAACAAAAAGTTTAAAATTCAAGCTCTGAAGGAAAACAAAAATATGCTTATAGAAGGATATACAGATGTTTTTTTAAAAAAAGAACCAAACTAATAATCATTTCTAAGAACAACAAACAGCAACATTAATCTTCTGTTGTAAAAGGAAATACAATAATCAATCATAAAGAAACACAATGCTCACTTAGCAATATTTTAAATAATGCTGGCTTCTCATTCTTTCAGTGAGTGAGAAATTTGAGAATGACAGCAATGTAAGAAAAGCTCACATTCTAAGCAACATTAGTATACCAGTAAGACGAACTGCCATCACCACCAACATTTGAAATGATTCATATCACTCTTAAGAGTCACACAGGTATTAACTTATAAAGAGCAAGGAACTTCCAACCCAAAATGCATCATCTACCCTTGTATTTTACCTTGTGCAATGGTTAAAACACTTGGCTGAAGACCTTAAGTTTTATGAGTTCAGAGAAAGTAGAGATGACATATTTGTTTTACTGCAATATCAAGCCCCTACTTCGAAATTTTCAGCAAAGAACGTTCGGATGTGTAGGAAATTAATAATGCAAAGAAAAAGAAAATTTTTAAGTAAAAAAACTTTGAGAAAGGTTTAAATACACAGAGTGGCTTTGTAAGAAACCTAGTATTTTTCCTGGCTATAAACTATGACTTATTTACTGATAAAGCTGAAAATATAGAAAACTTGTGGGGAACAACCCCCACAATTCAAAGAGAGCCACACTAGCTTTTTTATTTTTTTAACATCTTTATTGGAGTATAATTGCTTTACAATGGTGTGTTAGTTTCTGCTTTATAACAAAGTGAATCAGTTATACATATACATATGTTCCCATATCTCTTCCCTCTTGCATCTCCCTCCCTCCCACCCTCCCTATCCCACCCCTCTAGGTGGTCACAAACCACTGAGCTGATCTCCCTGTGCTATGTGGCTGCTTCCCACTAGCTATCTATTTAACATTTGGTAGTGTATATATGTCCATACCACTCTCTCGCTTTGCCACAGCTTACCCTTCCCCCTCCCCATATCCTCAAGTCCATGCTCTAGTAGGTCTGTGTCTTTATTCCCGTCTTACCCCTAGGTTCTTCATGACCTTTTTTTTTTTCTTCCTTAGATTCCATATATATGCGTTAGCATACGGTATTTGTTTTTCTCTTTCTGACTTACTTCACTCTGTATGACAGACTCTAGGTCCATCCACCTCACTACAAATAACTCAATTTCATTTCTTTTTATGGCTGAGTAATATTCCATTGTATATATGTGCCACATCTTCTTTATCCATTCCTCTGTTGATGGACACTTAGGTTGCTTCCATGTCCTGGCTATTGTAAATAGAGCTGCAATGAACATTTTGGTACATGACTCTTTTTGAATTATGGTTTTCTCAGGGTGTATGCCCAGTAGTGGGATTGCTGGGTCGTATGGCAGTTCTATCTGTAGTTTTTTAAGGAACCTCCATACTGTTCTCCATAGTGGCTGTATCAATTTACATTCCCACCAACAGTGTAAGAAGGTTCCCTTTTCTCCACACCCTCTCCAGCATTTATTCGTTGTAGATTTTTGATGATGGCCATTCTGACTGGTGTGAGATGATATCTCATTGTAGTTTTGATTTACATTTCTCTAATGATTAATGATGTTGAGCATTCTTTCATGTGTTTGTTGGCAATCTGTATATCTTCTTTGGAGAAATGTCTGTTTAGGTCTCCTGCCCATTTTTGGATTGGGTTTTTTGTTTTTTTGTTATTGGGCTGCATGAGCTGCTTGTAAATTTTGGAGATTAATCCTTTGTCAGTTGCTTCATTGGCAAATATTTTCTCCCATTCTGAGGGTTGTCTTTTGGTCTTGTTTATGGTTTCCTTTGCTGTGCAAAAGCTTTGAAGTTTCATTAGGTCCCATTTATTTATTTTCGTTTTTATTTCCATTTCTCTAGGAGGTGGGTCAAAAAGGATCTTGCTGTGATTGATGTCATAGAGTGTTCTGCCTATGGTTTCCTCTAAGAGTTTGATAGTGTCTGGCCTTACATTTAGGTCTTTAATCCATTTTGAGTTTATTTTTGTGTATGGTGTTAGGGAGTGTTCTAATTTCATACTTTTACATGTACCTGTCCAGTTTTCCCAGCACGACTTATTGAAGAGGCTGTCTTTTCTCCACTGTACATTCTTGCCTCCTTTATCAAAGATAAGGTGACCATATTTGCGTGGGTTTATCTCTGGGCTTTCTATTCTGTTCTACTGATCTATATTTCTGTTTTGTGCCAGTACCATATTGTCTTGATTATTGTAGCATTATAGTATAGTCTGAAGTCCAGGAGCCTGATTCCTCCAGCTCCATTTTTCTTGCTCAAGATTGCTTTGGCTATTCGGGGTCTTTTGTGTTTCCCTACAAACTGTGAAATTTTTTGTTCCAGTTCTGTGAAAAATGCCAGTGGTAGTTTGATAGGGATTGCATTGAATCTGTATATTGGTTTGGGTAGTATAGTCATTTTCACAATGTTGATTCTTCCAATCCAAAAACATTGTATATCTCTGCATCTATTTGTGTAACATTTAATTTCTTTCATCAGTGTCTTATAATTTTCTGCATACAGGTCTTTTGTCTCCTTAGGTAGGTTTATTCCTAGATATTTTATTCTTTTTGTTGCAATGGTAAATGGGAGTGTTTTCTTGATTTCACTTTCAGATTTTTCATCATTAGTATATAGGAATGCCAGGGATTTCTGTGCATTAATTTTGTATCCTGCCACTTTACCAAATTCATTGATTAGCCCTAGTAGTTTTCTGGTAGCATCTTTAGGATTCTCTATGTATAGGATCATGTCATCTGCAAACAGTGACAGCTTTACTTCTTCTTTTCCGATTTGGATTCCTTTTATTTCCTTTTCTTCTCTGATTGCTGTGACTAAAACTTCCAAAACTATGTTGAATAAGAGTGGTGAGAGTGGGCAACCTTGTTTTGTTCCTGATCTTAGTGGAAATGATTTCAGTTTTTCACCATTGAGGATGATGTTTGCTGTGGGTTTGTCATATATGGCCTTTATTATGTTGAGGTAAGTTCCCTATATGCCTCCTTTCTGCAGGGTTTTTATCATAAGTGGGTGTTGAATTTTGTCAAAAGCTTTCTCTGCATCTATTGAGATGATCATATGGTTTTTCTCCTTCAATTTGTTAATATGGTGTATCACATTGATTGATTTGCGTATATTGAAGAATCCTTGCATTCCTGGAATAAACCCCTCTTGATCATGGTATATGATCCTTTTAATGTGCTGTTGGATCACACTAGAACTCTTACATATTAACTTATTTTCTACTCTATGTATATATTAAGCCTTAAAAAAAAGAATTGGGATCATTACAATATATATTTTTAGATGTATTTATAGTTAGAAAGTAACTTTGCTCATTTAGTAATATTACAAAATGCATTATGTACTATTAGCTAGGTTTATAAAATAATTAAGTTCCAGAAATATTTATTTAGTATATGGCATCTTCTACAATGGAGAAGCTCTTTAACCACTGTATCCTCAGTTCCCAATCCAGTGCCTGACATACTAAATGAACTAAATAAACTCATTAAATGTTCTTATTTGTCCAAAATACAATACGACTAAGGGAATAAAAAGTTCTAAAGATACGGCCACTAACCATAAGCAAGTTTAAATTTTCGTGGGGGCGCACCAAGTAGACAGATAATTATAATAAGTGGTAAACTACAAAAAAGGTCAGAGCAGAAGGACAGATGAAGCACAGTCAGGGAGAGCAGGTCTTCCTGGGCTGGACCCTGAAGGATCATGGGTAGAATTTCAGTTACAAAGACCAAAGGGGATGAATGATCCCAAGAAAGAAGGATGATCAAAAGGAAAGGCATGGAAACAGGAAAATTAGATATAAAGAATGAGGGGGAAAAAAAAAGATATAAACAGGAGGAAAGTGGAAGATAATACTGAGAGATCAATCCTGTTTTCTCAGAAATCACCTAGCTACAGTGAAGACCCCAGACACCTTAATCTGGAGGGGTTTTGTCAACAGTTCGCACCTCCCACTAGCAGCCTTGCAAGCAAAAAGCAGAGGCATCCTCAGGGAGGAGCAGGCCAGGAGAGCAAAGCACAGTGTTTCCATGGTTAGCTCTCTTTCCCTCAGGTGGATGTGATATTCCAACACCAGCACACCTAGAAGAGGTTCTAACTCTCAAAAGTTTATATTTGCTCTTTCTCTATTTTGTTCTAAACTTTGTACATGTAGAAGACAGTAAATTATCTGTTCCTAATTTCTGCTGACTAAACGGGTAACACTGTAGCAGTGTACTCTTTTCCCAGTCTCTGAGATCTAGACAAAGGCAAAGAATACAGTATCCACCTGCCACTAAATCAAAAACTCAACCATGTAACAAAACAAAGAAGGCCCTCAATTCTTCATAAGGAGAATTTTTGACACGGGTCTATGTATCACCAATCCAAATGATTCTGCAGCTCCTGATAAGACAATCACATATTTTGTAAAATACAGACATACTTCTGAAATCATACATTTAGCTTAGCAAAAATCTAATAGCAACTAATAAATTATAAGCTTAACTGCTATGGACCTTGAGTCTGTCATACAGTGAAGTAAGTCAGAAAGAGAAAAACAAATACCATATGCTAATACATATATATGGAATCAAAAAAAAAAAAAAAAAGGTCATGAAGAACCTAGGGGTAGGACGGGAATATAGAATAAAGGTGCAGACCTACTAGAGAATGGACTTGAGGACACGAGGAGGGAGAAGGGTAAGCTGGGACAAAGTGAGAGAGTGGCATGGACATGTATATACACTACCAAATGTAAAACCGATAGCTAGGGGGAAGCAGCCACGTAGCATGGGGAGATCAGCTCTGTGCTTTGTGACCATCTAGAGGGGTGGGACAGAGAGGGTGGGAGGGAAGGAGACGCAAGAGGGAAGAGATATGGGGATATATGTATAGGTATAGCTGATTCATTTTGTTATAAAGCAGAAACTAACACTCCATTGAAAAGCAATTATACTCCAATAAAATTTTTTAAAAAAAAGCTTAAATGTTGAAATACATATTAATCTACATCTTACTAAATTAAATTTATAATAAATTCTCATTTAAGTTTCTTTAAAATTAAAATGACCAAATTGCTACTATTGCTTTCACTACATTCTACATCATCCATATTTACACATTTTCACATTCTCCTTTATCTTTCACAACAAAGATAAAAGGTTTCAGACAGCCCAAATCAGGTTTATTCATATGTTCACAAGATCAAAGGGAACAGATACAAGGTTTTGGCCACAGAGAAAAAAAAAAAAAAAACCTTAAATTCTGTATAAAAACTTCTAAGGAAATCCTTCTCATTTCCCTTTATCCAGTCCCTAGTTTTGGTTAGCAACATGGTTTTAGTGAACAAAGATATTCAAATTACTGACTTCCTAAAGAAGAATGAACTCTGTTGTTATAGAACAGACACATTCTTTTTGAAAGAAGAAAACATAGTATTGTGAGAAACAAGATTTGAAGCATATGTATCTTTAGCGCTGTAAGAAATCCTTTCCTGACCTCCTTCATACAGAGCAGACCATAAAAACAGAAGAAAGTGATGGCTTTCTGATGTTTTAAATTCTAACAAAGCATAGGTAAGCACTGAAAAAAGGTCCATTTTAATTATGCAGGCATTCACAAGGTTAGTGATTCAAAACAGACTATTGGTAGCAAACTGGAGTTGGTATATTTTCTGTATTGATCATAATGAATTTTAATATTAACCAAGCATAACAAGAAAAGTTCTGAAAGGAGGTGGAGCAAGACAGAGATACACTTGAAAGCCAACATGAATTATTTTAAACTAAATCACTGTCTTTCAGATCATTCTTAAGACTGTACAGACAGCAGTGATTTAGCTAGTGTGTTAGTATATTCCTATCCATCACGATACTATAGGCTCAACCTAGGGAAGTTTTAATAATGTCAGGAATACATACCCATTATCGTATAAGTCAGCTGCAGACCTGCACTGGAAATTTTTTTTCCCAGATAAGGTTTTATATATTTTAATATTTCACCAAGGTATTCTAAGGACTTTGTGACCATGGCAGATTTATCAGAAAGTGTCGGCAGATTCCCGTAAGTTATACCAACAGCCTATAAATAAGGGAAAACATGATTTAGCATTCCAAGTTTTATATAATACAGATTTTGAAAAATAAACATAATTTCTCTTTCTACACACACACATGCACACACACATCACTTACATTTAAGCCTTCATCCTTAACTTTCCTATAAATGTTCATAGCAATTAAAATCCAGGTAAAGAATTATCTGGCCTTTTATAATTAAAATAATGGTTAAAGGAAAAATTAAACAATCAGTTCACCAATAATTATGAGTCAGCAAAGTATTAGTAAAAGATACCCAGAACTGATATACGAGAAGCTTATAACCAAATCACATCAAGCATTCCAAACAGGTTGGCTCACCATATCTCTAGGACATGACTGGGAATTCTAAATCCCCAAATTCCTACAAAAAAGACCTACAGATGAGGTTAACAGACTCTTACAAGTGAGACCTCCATAAATAAAGTTCAGCTTTATGATATGAATTGATTTTTTTCCTAGAATTTTCTTTATAAGCCATTAGATGCCAGCTTAACTTTCTCAGAGGAAAAAAAGGATGAGGTACAAAGGGTAGAAATGGCAAAATGGGGAGGCTGAGGAGAGAAATGTGAGGTGAGGTAGTAGAGAATAATGGTGAAGTGAGAAGAGGAAGGGAAATAAATGAGAGGATGAGTTGAGGGAAGGTGAGAATAAAGAAGAGTTGAGAAGTCACTAGAAGAGTCGAGATATGGGGATATATGTATAGCTGATTCATTTTGTTGTAAAGGAGAAACTAACACACTACTGAAAAGCAATTATACTCCAATAAAGATGTTAAAAAAAAAAGAATAAAGAGAAAACTGGCTAGAGATGGGTTAGAAGGTTTGAGGAGAGTAGTAAAGTTTCCAAGCCATTACTGGGAACTTAACAATGAATTTCAATTACCCAAATTGGACCATGAATGGCACCAGTATGCACGGTTATGTGATTTTTCTCCTGCAGCTCTCAGGAAATAACACAAAGGAAAGAAGGCAGGTGGTTGTACTGATCCAAAGTTGAAGATTTGCAGGTGTAACGATAAGACAAAGGATGGAAGACTGTGAGCGTGTTGGTTAAGGGTAGTTGAAGTGAGGCCTCCAAGGGGTTCAGTTAAGGTAGATAAGGAAGAAAGTGAGACCTTGACAGAATGTTGTGCTTGGAGAAAAGGGAGAGGAAGGTCATGATAAAGTCACTCAGAGAAATGGAAGGAAGGCAGTGATAGTCAATGAGCTTTCAGATGCTCCAAGTGATGCCATGGTTCAGTGATTAGTCATGGCAGTAGGTGGATGACAGCAGAAGTGAAGATCACTGAAAGACTACTGGAGAAGTTTTGAAATGAGGGCTCAAGATAAGTTATCCAAGGTGATATTAAAGTTAGCCATGATGATGATAAAATGTAGAATGGAGGAAAAGATAAGGAACCTAGTGAACTTGGAAGATTGGGAGGTAGACAGCTGAGAATAAGAGATATACTTGATGAATGCCCTTTTCCATTTAGCTCTCTGCCCTTGGTTCTCTATACTTCTTTCCCTAGACCAGAAATTCTCAAACTTCGTCTCAGTTCCCCTTCACACACTTAAAAATTGAGGATCTTAAAAAGCTTATCATTTGGGCTATATCTATTGATATTTATATTACAAATTACAATAGAAAAATTTAATTTATTCATTTAAAAAAATAATAAACATTATGTTAATATACCTCATATATTTTTAGTGAAAAATAACTTTCTTTTCCAAAACAAACCAAAAAAAATACTGATAAGTGGCACTTTTTTTTACATCTTTGAAAATCTCTTTAATGTCTAGCTTAAGAGAAGACAGTTACATTCTCATATCTGCTTCTGCATACAAGCTGTTGCAATATGTTGCAGATAAAAACAGTTAAGTCAATATTTCTGTCAATATTAGAAAATTAAGAAAGACATACATATTTAATCCATACATCAAACAAGAGATCACAATGGAAACTGAAAAATATTCTAAAATACAAAATAATGAAGATATTGCAAATAAATCTTGTGGGATGAAGTTAAATTTGTGCTAAATGAAGAATTTATAGTCTTCAATTCAGATATTACAAAGAACAAGCCTCTGAAAATAAATTTTCTAAGGATAAATATAATATAGAAAAAGAACAGTAAAGTAGAAGAGTGAAAAATCATAAAAATAAGAGCAAAAAAAAAACCAATTAAGTCTCAGAAATATATGTAGTTGGAAGAGGAAAAAGTATTTTAATAAAATTTTCAGATAATTGTGGGAATTCCTCTTTGATATTACACCAAAACTTGACAAGTGGTATTTCTTAAAGGTTAGTTGTAATATGGAATCCAAAATCATGTCAATGTATATTCTGTTCTCTGCTACGTTATAAGCCATTGGTCTGTCTTGTGCTTTGAATGAATGTTTTCCACACATGCATACTTTCTAAAAAGCCTGTACTTGTTATCTGAAAAATTTTGGTTCATTGAGTTATACAGCTTCCCAATTTGGACAACACATTTCATTGTCCATATTTTAAAAAAATCATATTTGTTAATATCACCAGTGTTGTCAGAAAGTCTTTAATTATCAAGAAACTCTCAAGCTCATGATGACAAATACAAATGTTCCAAAATTCTAATTTTCTTAAAAGCTCAAATTATGTTAATATCAAAAAAAAATGCTGTCAGTTGACTTCTTTGAAGTGATAGGCTCATTTTTAAGAAAATATTTGCCAAATACCCAAGTCTGAATAACCATACTTTGTCAGTTGTTCTTTCACGGTAAAAGCGGTCAGTTCAGCTTACAACTCAATCACATAAGTGGCTCTCACTTAGACAACAATCTTGCTTTCATATGCATCAAAAGTACTTTAAATATATTTCCTATTGTCATTCACAGAATACTAAAAGGGCATGTACTCAAGGGTGAAAATTTATTAAAATTAGTAACTTTACTGCTTCATTAATGATACTCTTAAGTCAAACTGGTTTTTTTCCCCCTCTGTGATTGCATGGCCTTGAAAATTATACTGACTACTAGTATAATCTTGGGCCATGGTGTTGATTTCTGCTACAGCTTTTACGCTATTTGTACAAACACCAATATAGTTTTGAGCTCACAGAACCCCTGAAAAGTATTAGTGACTCCTAGAGGTCTATGAAACAGACATTTAAGAACCAGTGCCCTAGATTTCAATATTTCTCTGTTTAGCCTTAACCTCCCCAGACTATGAGACGTATATTTTTCAGTGCCTTGACTATCCTCACCTTCATGTCACACTATCATTTCTGTGCAGAGAAGAGTTAATATAGCAGGGGCCAATGTCATTACCCTTAAGAGGCCTATTTGCACGGTTGGTCCTTGGTTGGTTTTTGGACCCTTGGATTTTCCCCATCATCTCCCAATAAGAATGGCTCACTGTGCCTAAACAGTTTGTGCAACCAATACAGTTTATACTGAATATCTGCTTTCCTTCTGGGAGTCCGGATTTTTAAAAGTGCCAAACAAACAGGTCCTAGGTGACCAGCCCCCATTAAAAACTCTGGGCACTGAGTCACTAATGAGCTCCCCTGGTTGACAGATTTCATAGGTGTTGTCCCAATTCCTTGCTGGGAGAATTAAGCATCTCCAGTGTAATATCACTGTAAGGGGACTCTTGGAAGCTGTGCCTGGTTTCTCCAGACTTCACCCCCGAACTTTTTCTCTTTGTTGACTGTACTTTGAAACTTTTCACTGTAATAAGTCATAGATGTAAGTACAACTATATGCTGAGTTCTGTGAGTCCTCCTAGCGAATCATAATAGCACCTGGGGTGGGGTGACCATGAGCACCCCTGACACAACCTCAAACTAAACAGGTTTAAAATTGGACTTCTCACCTACTTCTGCCCCACTCTAAATCACGATGTTCCTATTTCTCCTTAAGGTCATCATTTTTCTGGTTAAACACAGTATTTATTTCATAATCATTCAAAAATCCCAGAGTGCAATCTTCAATTCCTCCTAAACTCACTAGCTTCTGGCATTAGTGCTCCTGCACCTTTAATTTACTCTATTGTTACCAATTTTCTTAAAGTCATTTGATCAAATCAGACCTACTTAAAAATTTATAAAGCCTGTTCACAGGATAAAATCTAACTTCTTATACCAAGATGCTCTGAATTCTTAACCTACTGATTGAGCTATCAACTAACTGACATTTAGCATATACTGTCTTATATTATTATTTTAGCCTTTGTGTATGTCTTGTATTCTCAGACAAGTAAAAGTTCTCTAAGATCAAGGACTAGTTCTTTTGGTTCTTCAAATCCCCAAGAAGTCCTCACATAATACTATCTAGCATTTAGCAAACAACTATTATTTAGTGAGTAGTTAAAAAGCAATTAATTTGGATAGGATTAAATTAGGAGAGCCTTAGAAAATGATCAGTGTAGTGCATGACTTCTACTTCCCTTTCTGGTCCAGTATGGTCCCCAGCATAGGTGCTGAATTAATTAATGATGGAGATCCAATCAACAACTAAATAAAAGGCTCCAGAGAAATATGTATTTTATATCTACATCTACTACTACGAAATATTTTTAGGATTTATATGACATCTCTAACTGTAACAATTGTACTTTAACTTAACGAAAACCAATGGAAGAATTCACATTTATGGAAAGAGCTTATGGATTGTAAGGACCTTCGTTGCAGTTAATACCAACTACTATGTGGGAAAATAAACTAAGTTTTACTGTGAATAGCTTACAAAAACACTAATCCAAGCACATTAACGACCTCAGGCTACAAAACAAAGACTATTACATAAGACAGATTCCTACAAAATTAATAATTAAAAATACAATGTTGAATGGGACCATTTATTACAGAGGCAAAATAAAACAAATGGATTGGTTTTTAAATCCCCAACCATGCTATGATATGAAGTAGTTGGTGCTTATGCTGCATACACTAAAATTTTACTGTAAAATTTACACTGTTCATTACAGGGTGGTAAACATTAAGTTGGAACTATTATGGACCATATACAAGGAAATTTAAGTACCTGAAGAATATTGTTATCTAACAATTTCAACAATAAGATACTCCTACAATTTAGATCAGACTTGGAGTTAAGGTTTTTATGTGGCAATCTTTACTCTTATTATTTTTTATTACACGTAATTCTTCTGCTGTCCTGAAGAGTGAGTTGTGCTATATCTTAGATTCATATTTTTATTCCTCCAGAATTTTATAATAGCGGCAACCAGTAATATGATTCAATTTAAAATAATTCATTTTATGGAAAAACTTTATGAACACTTCAAGATTTTTGGAAAAATAATTGTAACTGATCTGAACAATTATATTAATGAATAAAAAATACCTCGAGGAACAGAACAAGTGCTTTTTTAGGGCCTTCTTGCATAGGTAAATATTCAACTTGAGCCTTTGAGAGAATATTCTTTACTTCTGAGAGTTTAAATAGCAACCTTGTCAGTTCAGCCAACTGTTCCATGTAGTCTTTTTCTGTTAAAATAAAATATTTATATAATATGTTTATAAATTTATGTTTTATATATATATATATGTATATACACACACACACACACATATATGGGAGAACGGGGAACGTATCATTCTTCATTTATGACAACGCTTTCTTTTAAAATTAAAATTTCTACATTATTAAAAACTTCTAAGTTTCTCTCACTATGAGAAGGCTTTATTTAAAAACAAACAAATGAGTACTTGTGAACGTCCTAGTCCCAAAAGCTATTCACGTAAAGCCAACTGATTTAATAATATATAAAAGTAAATTTGGAGCATTTTTTCAGTCCAGCCTTTGTGGGATTTATGAATGGCCATAAACAATAGGTTTAGGATAAGGCACGCCCTACAGACAATCAGAACTGTTTGGGATATTAAAAACAAAAAAATTACAAGGAAATGGGATGAAATTATTCATAATTGGATATTTTTCTTTATAGGGTGTTAACAGCGTGATATCTGGTTATTTACTTCATATTTCCACTTTTTTTTGTGATCAGTTTCTTGAAGGTAAAAAAATAGCTCGTCATTTGAGAGCAAATTTTTGTTCCTAGCTTCCAAGGAAACAAGTTCTTTTATCTTTATAGGAGAGAAATTTGTCCTATACAGTTACAGGAAAATATCAAGAAAAAGAAATAGGCTGCAAAAGGAAGTAAATTTCTGTTCATATTAATACCTATTTACAAATACATTTTTTATCTTTCCTATTAATTTACATAATGAAACAGGAAATTTTAAACATACTTAGCTATCTAGAAAGCAAAACACCTGCAATACTTACCAACTGCCTGTTCAGTATTTAAATCAATGAACGAGTCATCTGGCACATAAAGGTTTTTTATATACATTTGCAAAATGCAACGGATCCATGATCTTATAGTTAGGGCTTGAAAAGATACACAGCCTGAATGAGAAAGCGCTTCACATAACATGCTGTAAAAATAAGTTGATGGCTATTAAAAAGAGAAACCAAAACAAAACCCTGACAATGTATTCCCTGAGTACAGAGATTCAGAAATAAAGGAAAACATTCTAATATCCCCCAGTTCTTGGCCTCACTTATTTTACAGACAAACACACTAATGCAGACATGCATTGCTGAAAATAAACTCTACAGATACACACAAAATGATATTTTAGACAAATATTCTTGCTTTCATTTGTAATGCCCTAGTTTTTAATTTTCCTTTTCCCACTGATGGCATACATATAGGCTAATGCCAAAGGAGAAAGGGAAAGAAGAACATGGTTAAAATTAGAAAAACAAGGAAGGGGATTAACTAGCTAGGTGAGATAATACTAACGGAAGTGGCAAGTACAATAAAAAACAGTGGCCCTTAGAGTAAACAGAGAAGGGGTCATGACCAAGAAAAAAGGTAAAAAGACAAAATACATTTCTATGTGGCTCTCCTGACCAATCCCGTTCCCATCCCTTCCTTTCCTGCTCCCCCACCTTAATAATGACAGGAGTCATTATTAAGGAATTCCAAAATAACATCTGAATGAGATTAAAAAAAAATTATCTTACAAAGTCAAAGCCCTAGTTAAATCTGATTTCTAATCATTTTATAAGTGAGGATAGAGAGAATGAAGATGGTCTTCACCTAATTATAAATGTTATGTAAAGTTAAGACGCTTGAAAAATACATATAAATTCGTAACTCTAAAAATACTGTTTTGAAATACTTTGAATATAAGTTATCATAAAAAAAGAGAACACAAAACAGAAGAACTCAGATGGGTCATTTATTACTTATACAACCTTCTCAACGTTACTTACCAACTTTGCATTTCAGTTCCTTCAACTGTGACTAACACACAATATTATTTTAAAAACTGAAATCCTTTCAGATAATTTCAGCAAAAGTATTTAATAAATAATATAAATAAATGTTTGTTGTTATTAAAGAATTCTTAAGCTGGAAGGGATCCTGAAAGTAATCCAATTGAAGGTGAACTCCCTTACTTTACAACTGAAAGCCAGTGAGAAAATGATTAATGACTCTGCTTAATGAATTCCTTTTGAGAAGAATACCTCTCTTCATTTTCACTGACTGGCAGGCAGCTGGGATCAGACCTACACTGGTCTCTTAGGTTTGTGTATTTATTTTATTTTCCCTCATCTTGATATTCTTATTTGAATTGTCCTGATTATTCTATACTATTTCTATTATCTATTGCATATTTTTTCTGTTGGGGTTCCTCAGATCTCTTATGTAATATGGCAGGAGACACTTAAAGATATGGAAACCAAAGTTCAGGGTGGGGATGTCTCTTGTTCATGACTACACAAAACTCAAAGCTTTAAACATCTAGCTGTGAAGAGGAAAGCTATCATTAAATCTAAAACTACAGTAATATAAGTGTCTTACATATTCAGCAATATTAATTGTATAATTTCTTTCACAATGGTGAGTGAAGAAAGGTCTTTTCAGGATGAGGATGAGGCAGTCCTACAAAAACCGTTTTGACAAAACAGCAACACACTGTTTTAAGAAAGCTTTCCTACTATTAATACTGTCAAAATGCTGATACACAGAAAAGCAACAAACTGCCCAAGTGAGAGTATATATAGTAAAGATCAGTTTTTATTGTGAAAATTCTTACCTTCCTAGTGAACTCATCTATCGTGGGCTTACATTAATGTGCATACCTGAAATAAAAACACTTACCTATTTTGTAGGAAATGACTTAAATATCTGGCTACAACTTGGGGCCAGACGATATCATCCCAACCAAAAAGTTGTATCATTGATGTAACTGGCTGAGGCTGAAGATCTGATGGAGCTGTGCTGGGCAAGTCCATTGCCAGCAAAGTAAAATCTGGATTTAAAATGAGAAAAACTCACAGTGAGAATTTTTTAACCCCCCCCCAATTATATCAATAGTGATTTTTAAAAAATTAGCACTAAATAGTAAAATGTCACATTTTAGAAACGTACAACAGAAAGCTAAAACTGAACTAAATTCATGTTGTCGAAGAAATTTCTGTGGCGATCATCTGGATCTCCAAGAAAGGGTCTAGAATAATCTATCTCAGCATCATCATGATGAATCTATAATGGCCCTCTCAAATGGCAAATTCTACACCTGATTGTCTCTGCTTATGTGACTCTCCCATTCAAAAGACCCATTACAAAAATTATTTCTAGCATCCACTCTTCTCCAATTGAGTTAATTTACTCATCACCTGCCACAGACAGAGTTCTTCCTCACCTTGGACACTGGACGTTCTCTTCTAGTAAAAAGTGATCTTCTACAATCAATCAATGATACTCCACTTCCCTGAGAGCTCACAAAGCCTAGGAGCTAGAATTCCTTAGGTCACCATAGTAAACAAATGTACTTTATTTTGTGATTTCCTGGGATTCCCCAACTTAATCTGCACTATATCACTATATGTTTATCAATAAATTGCTTCTTAAGTACTGCTCCTATGCAGCTCTCTCAAATGGTGGCTATTTATTCTCCCACACTCTCGTACACAGGACCCACATAAGGTGAGCTTACTTCTTGGTCCACATGGCTGCTTCTATACCATTCTCCCTTCCCCCTCCCTTTGGCTTTGAGTCTTAGGTCATCAGATTAAGTCACCAGCACTAACTCTCCTTGTTGCATTTGTCTACCGTTTCCTCCTTCACCTCCTCTCATCCCTTGAAGATTTTAGCTCACTATCATCCTTTCTAACTGCACTCCTGTCATAGTCCTTGATGATTTTTCTTCCAATCTCCTGGCACTGAACTCCTCTCCTACAGTGAGTCTATCTTCCATTCTACTTTAGCCATTCACTCCCATGGTGATACAGAGACCTTGGCACTACCCATAAGTACAATCTCACCATAATTTCCACTTTGAAGACCCCTCTTTCTGGCATTGAACTACCTTTCCAACTCTCCTCCTGTAGGTTCCCAAATCCAGCAATCCTTTGATTCCACCAGGACCTACAATTCATTGATCCTACAAGTTTTCCCCTTCCTTCCCCTTTTTAGGCAGCTTGATTACATGGTCCATTATTATACTGATTTTCATATACCATCAACTCCCTTGCTTCTTACTTGATTTTTTGTACTTTCCTGGAAAAAACACCATCTGTTTAATTACATCCTTGGTCTTCTCCCCACATGCACCTACACCTACACAGTATAAATGGCTGGTGAACAACCATGCTGACTGATCTCACTTCAAGTTTATGACTACAAACTTTAAGTGGACTCTTAGAGCTGGCCATCATTTCTACCACATTTCTCTAGTCCATTCAGTCTTTTACTCTCCTAGAGGATTACTGCATACCTTCTTTCCTTGCTCCATCATAAGCCAGCATCTCCTCCCCATTTTCACTTTCAGCTAATGACCTTACTACGTCACAGAGAAATGAGAAACGTCAGAGGAGAACCACCACATCTACCCAGCAACCTCCACCTGGGCCCATTTACTCTGCCTTCTCTTCTGCTACTATAGGATATCTGAGGCCAAGTCCTCTATGGGATCCCATTTCTCTTGGGCATTAAAACACAAGTGAGTCTCTTGCCACATCAAGTTTTCCCTCACTCCTAAACATTCCTGTCAGCATTATAAATAAGCTGAAATTTCTCCCATGTTATCAGAAAAAAATCTCTGACCCCATTTCCCTCTCCAGCTAACATCCCCATTTTTCTACTTCTCTTAGACAGTGATACTCAAAAAGATTTACTACATTTGCAGTCAGCGATTCCTCTCCTCACATTTTCTCTTGGATATCTTCAATCAGGCCTTTGTCTCTACCCACTACAGCAAAACTGCTCTTGAAGGTCATCAGTGACCTCCATCCTACTAAATCCAAGGACCGATTCTCAGGCCTCATCCTACTGGACCCATTAACTGCATTTGAAGTGTTGATAACTGCTCCTTCCTTGAAAAGCTCTGTCATTTGGTTTCCAGGGCACTATGCTTTCTTGGTTTTCCTCTCACCTCACTGGTATTCCTTTGCAGTCTCCTTTCTTGGTTCTTCTTTATCCTACAAATCTGAACATGGGAATATCCTAGGGCCCTATCCTCAAACTTCTCTTTTTACTGGTACTTACTCTACTAGTAGTCTCATCCAGTTCATAGCTTTAAAGACTATTTATATATACATAGTTTCCAAATTTAAATCTCCAGCTTAGACCTCTTCCCTGAACCCTAGGTTCATTATCCAGGGGTCTAACTCAACATCCCTACTTGAACTTTAATGGACATATTAAAAAAAAATGTCCAAAATCAAAATCCTAGTCTTCACTCACAAAATCTGCTCCTGCCACAATCTTCCTCATCTCAAACAAGGGGTTCTCCCTTTATCTGTTTTGCTTACCATATCATACCCACTTAGAAAATTCTGTCAGCTCTACCTTCATATTGGAAATCTGACCACTTCTCACCACTTCTACTGCTACCACTGTAGCCCAAGGTGCCCAGCTCTGAGCTGTTACAATAGTTCCCTACGTGGCCTCCCCATCTCCCGATAGTCTTTTCTCCAGCCAGTAGCCAGAGGGATCCTATCACTCCTCTGCTCAAGACCCCAACAGCTTCTAATATCAGGGTAAAAGCAAAAGTCTTCACAGCTACGTACAGGGCAGAACACAAAGTAGTTCTCCATAACTGCTTGACCCCATCTCTGACTACTCTTACTCCTTTTCTTATTCCACGAGAGCTTTGACGGCTTCCTGTAGTTCCTCAAACACACCAGACACACTCTTGCCTCTGGACTTCTGCATAGCTCATAGCTGCATAGCTGCATATTTCACCTCCTTCATGTCTTTGCTCAAATGGTACTTACACAGGTTTTCCTGACAATTCTGTTTAAAATTATAACTTGCCTCTGGCTTTCCCTATCCCTATATTTTTCTATATTTTTATTTTTCTCCATAGCATCTCACCATCTGACATATTACACATTTTACCTACTGATTTATTTATGTTCTCTCTCCGCCACTAGACTATAAGCTCCATGAAAACATGGAGCTTATACATGAAAAAAAGAATTGCAGTCCTTTTTTTTCCCCATTGGTATATCCCCAATGGCAATAAAAGTGGGTATTCAATAACCTTTTTTTAATGCAGGAAATTTCTCTCTCCTATGAAGTCTTTATTTCAAAACGAACCCAAAACCCACACATATTTTGCTTTATGTCTATATACTGTTTATTTTCAGTGCCTAGGACAGCACTGACTCAACTTGTATGATATAATTTTTGGTAACTAACTGGGAGTTGGGATGATGAATGGAAGAAAGATAAGTCATATCGGCTAGTAATGACTGCTTTGGTTAAACTGAATATCAATATTTATTTTCACAGACATTACACTGGTTGGAAAACCGTTGCCCTGTCACAATTCTTCAATCTATGTATCACTGTAAAGTCTTAATTATGCAAGTGTTACCAGAATTCAAGGTCTTTTAAAATTTATATCATGCAGTCTTTTCTGTTGTGCTTTTAGCTCAGCTTTCCTCATTCACACCAGGGTAAAATAAACCTTGGTTTAGATCTTAGGTTTTCAAAAGTGTTAATATTTAAATACATTAAATACCTTCATATAAATTGCACTTAAATACATGCAGTCACCATATTGATCTCTCTCTATTCCAGTATTTCTTAACATACATTGGGTAAAATATCCCTTTGTGAAACATAATGACTTCTTTTTGGGCAAGTGCATATATGCACATATATTCAAATTCTTGCCTATAATTTCATCTGATTCAGAGTCCCTTAAAGCCTAAGGACATGTCCATAGGCTAATAATCAAATTAAGTAAAAATTACAACCTAAAATAGAATCTAATGAAGTCAGAACAATAACATTCTCTATACTCCATGTCATTCTGAGCTCATCTGCTTGATGTTGAAGTGGAATTCATGCTACATCCTTTATTGCTCTTTATTCAACTTCATCTTATACTAGATATCTGAACATACAATTTGAAAATAAACTACTCGAACTAGAAGAAATCAAATGTTGCCTTACTTTTCAAATAATGCATGCATAAGAAAAGTTCACGTACATTCAATATTTTTAAGGTTAAAAGTGATCTTTTGGTTTTAGAAAATGATCACTTAATTTTTACCTTTACTAAGAGGAAAATAATAAACAAGCCAAAGGTTCCTAATTTTAAAATATGTACCTCTTTTCATCTTTCTGGTTGACAAAATATTTATTGCACCATAATAAAATAAGGGTTTGTTACCAAGCAGACAGAAGAAAAAACTGACAGTCTGCAAAATGAGAAACTAATTAGCAAATTAACAACGCTGACCTGCAGCTGCATCTGCGAGTTGTGAGGGAGGCACTATCTGTGACATTCTCTGACTCTTCAAAAATGAAAAGAAATGCCTCCATAGTGCACTGGCAACTGCAGCAAGGTGGCGCTCTTTAGCCGATAATGAAGACTGCACAATGAGGTCCACATTCTCCCCCTGAAGTTCCTGACACAATTGTTGATGCATACTCCTAAAAAGAAATAAAAATACAGTTAACACCCAACAAATACTCACAAAAATTTTTCTTTAAATACATTATTGGCTTTTAACATTTACACCATATGAAAACTGAAGAACTGTTTTATATAATTAAAACCTTTATGCCAAGACATTATGCATTTCTGGTTATTTGATGGATGAATGATGGCATATTAAGCACCATAAAGTTAATGTTAATTACTAATGTCAACCATTAATTATATGCTTTTTAATATGGCATATCCAAATAAGAAACAGGCAGCTTCAGAATGAAGGTTTGCATTTTGCAACTATGCAACTATGACAAGTGATTTTACTTACAATCTAGACATAAAAACAAAATTTAAAACCATTTCTCCTGTGAGCTTTAGGGCATGATGTACCAAGAGGACAGTGAGTATTTATGGCTTATGCGTGATATTTTAAACTAAAATACTTTCCTTGTTTAGAGCAGACACAGGTGTTGAGCTAGTATATAAAACTGTGCTAGATACAACCTTATTATCAGTACATTGGTCCAAAAAGATCTATAATCATTTTCACATAGTAGAAAAAAAATAAAAAATAAAGTTATTCTCCATAAATCCATAAAACATGAATTCAATACTGTCTCAAGTTTCAATTTATCATTTACTCACCTTTTTTTCCTATTGAAAATTTAGATATCTCTAGACCTTAAAAGAAACATAAGAGGGGTATATACTAAAAGATTTTTCTAGTGATCTGGAATAGAAGGCATTTATGCAATATGCCCAGCAGTTAATAATATTATTTAAAATTAAATGTGCAACCGTGATATTATTCCTGTTTCTGTTTATATTACTGCCATCTCAATTGAGGGTAGACACAAATGCATGAATACCATCTTTAGATTTGCTTTCTTCAATTAAAGAGGAAGCAGTGAAAACCAACCAGTGGAGCTAAGGCAGAAGGCTTCCTTCAATAATGGTAGTATTCCATTAAGAAAAACGACTAGTACTTTAAAAAAGAAGGAAATATTACATTAATTCCAACACTCCTGATGTTTTAAATCAGTTCATCTAAGGGAAGTGGACACTCAAAATAACTATATAAAATACAGAACTAGTGCATGTAACTAAAGCAATTCCACAAAAAGATCAAACTGGTTGCAAGACCACATCTTCGTACTTTTCCCATAACTACACAAAAGTAAAAATTTTAAGTATAAATTATGTAACACTAGGACTCTGTGCCTCTCTACATTGGAATTCTTAGATGATCATGAGATACTACTTAATGCTACTTGAAGTACTGAAAAATAAAACAAGTGTACAAATGCCTGGGGAAAGAATATCATAGTAAGCAAGTCTCATAAAAACTAACCAAATATCTGCTATGTTCTCTTTGTGTAAAAACCTGCCTGAGATGCTTTCAACTTGAACTAGTGACTAAAGAACCATTTCAGGTCCTTTAGCTTTGAGTAAGATGAATATCAAATCACTAAAATCCATTAGGCAACTAATTCATCTGCCTACATCCACAAAGCAAAGTTCATGGGTACATTTCAAGACACTGGAATCCAAGTAAAATAATACCACCATTTGTAAAACCCATCTATAGCTTTTTCAAAGTACATTGGTCTCAAAGGATAATAAATAACTTACTGTATTTGGGTAGGATGGATTTTACTCACTATTTCTAAATAAAATAAGCCATTTCTTCACTCACTAAAATCTATTCCCCAGGAAGGGGTATTATTTCTGATCATCCTTTATTTTTATTTTTTAAATTTTAATTTAATTTTATTTTTTTGCGGTACGCGGGCCTCTCACTGTTGTGGCCTCTCCCATTGCGGAGCACAGGCTCGGGACGCGCAGGCTCAGCGGCCATGGCTCACGGGCCCAGCCGCTCTGTGGCATGTGGGATCTTCCCGGACCGGGGCACGAACCTGTGTCCCCTGCATCGGCAGGTGAACTCTCAACCACTGTGCTACCAGGGAAGCCCTGATCATCCTTTATGATGCCAGAAATTCTTTAAGTAAAGATCAGAACAATTCTGTAAGATGGGTATCATTTAATCCTCTTTATAGATGATGAAGATGATAATAACATGCCCAAAGGTCACATGGCTAAGAAGAGTTGGCCCCATAATCTGAATCAGAATCTGACTCTGAAGCCCCTACTTTTCCCTTACACACTAAGACACACACCCTTATATGCTAAGATGCACGCACATGCGCGCACACACACACGGTTTAAATATTGATCAATTTTCTTCTCTCCCTACTTGGGTTAAGAAATTTTAGTAAGCCTAAGAAAAGAAGCTAGACAAGCCGCATGTAGCTCTTTGCCTCGTGAAGAGGCAGGGGCAAATGTTTTGAGTAAAAGACTAACTTAACATGGGTTAAAATCATTTTGGAAATACACAGATGTGGAAATACAGATAACCAGCCCACTTATGTTCTAAAAGATGCAATACATTATAGCAGAAAATAAAATCTGCTGAACATCAAGTTATTCAAATTGCAGCTCTTATAGTAGAAATAATAGCAACATCTAGCATTTATTGGTATTTACCATGTGCCAAGCACCATGCTAGTTATTTTGTAAGCATTGTTTCTCACCCCATGTGGTAGGTACAATTATTATTCAAATCTTATAAATGAGGAAACTGAGGCAATAGAATTAACACTTGTGTTGGGTAAAGCTGCTGGTTATTAGTAAAGCTACTGTAAGCTGTGTGACCTTGAAAAAAAAATGAGTAACCTCCCCAATTCTTGCTTTCTAAAGAGTTAAGATTAGGAACAATCATTTATCATCCACCCAACAGGGTTATTGTGAAGATCACATGAAATAATGTCCTCAAAAGTGTTTAGGGGGGGACTTCCCTGGTGGTCCAGTGGTTAAGAATTCGCTTTCCAATGTCAGGGATGCAGATTCGATCTCTGGTCGGGGAACTAAGATCCCACATACGGTGAGGCAACTAAGCCCACGCGCCACAACTAGAGAGCCCACATGCCGCAACTACTCAGCCCGTGCGCTCTGGAGCCTGCACATCACAACTAGAGAGCCCATGTGCCACAACTACTGAGTCCGCGCGCCACAACGAAAGATTCCGCATGCCACAACAAAGATCCCGTGTGCTGCAAGTAAGACATAATGAAGCCAAATTAAAAAAAAATAATAAAAGCGTTTAGGAACCTATTGCTACACTATGAAAACACCCAAACTTTTACATACCTAGTTATCCAGGTTTTCATACGCTTCTATTTTAGCTCTGATATCCTGCCTCTTTTGGCTTACCTCATTAAGTTCAAGCACTTTCCTGTTTCCTGTATCCAATTGCTCTTGTGCCCCACTTTCCAGGATTTGTTTTCCTGTTTTTATCTTCATGTTACTTCCTGTTGTGATTTCACATATTCACTCATCCATCTTGCCCTCAACCTTCCCACCCTCACACAGACACACAAATGTACTGAGGCATCTATCACATAAGACGCACTGAAACCTGCAGCATCTGACTGCTGCTATCTGCCAGCCTGGTCTCTGAGGCATTGTTCCTCCCTAATAACCTGGACAGGGTTCTGGGAACACTTATTAGACTACTACATCTAGGTTTTACTTCTCATCTTTGTATGCTCTTGCTTCTCCTATAACTGGTAACTATAGAACAAGGTATGACATACTGTACATCATTTTCCTGGTAGTCATAGTTGCATATGTAATACTTCTAACATATTATGCCTCAAAATGTAAAGAAAAGTCGTCTATTGATGGACCTTGCACCACATAGAAAAAGCATAATATAATAAATGTGAGTGATAAGAGCTAACAGAAAGCAAGGGATTAACAACAATTAACAACTGAATTCCTTTTTTAGTTCTACTGCAAAACCTGCCAACTTTCTTCAATCTATATTAGTAAAAAATATAATGGGAAGTTCTAAGTTAAAAAAAGTTGTTCTAAACCACTATGAGTAATTACTCCAAGTGCCTGATTGATCTAACTAATGGAAAACTGGATGGGAATCAGGATACTCTACAATTTTTAGTTTCAGCTAAATTCACTAAAAAAAAACCTTAGGTACTCTGGATCTTCTTGTCATTCTTATTCACATCTATAAAATAGGGCTATAATCTGCTCTACTACCCAGAAAGAATATAACATAACCAAAGTAATGACATTACCAGAAAACAAAACAAACAAAAAAACCCCAAAGTTTTAAAGCTAGAAGGTATCTTAAAAATCATCCAACCCAATCCTGTCTTCAAAAAATAAAAACAAAACAAAACAAAAACAGACTCCAGGCATACAGAGAATAGTGCAAAGCCTCACTAGGAAATGATAGTAGCTTAAGTTCTGACCCCCAATTCTGTGCATGCCCAGTGTTCAGGGAGAGGCAATAAGTCAGAAACCAAGCTGGCAAGCAGCCGCTCAGGCACACCCAGCAGTGTCTCCCTGTAATGGCACCTCAGTGCATTTGTGTGTATGTGGACGAGGAGGTGAGTGGGTGGTAACAACTGAGTGAATAGGTGAGATCCAGGCAAGGAGGTTGCTGGCTGTTTTGACTATTGAGGGATTATAACAAATAAAAAGCCCAGTACTGGCAATGATGCTTCTGGTCACATATAATGCACCATTAAGGCATTAAAAAGGCTCCTCAAGAGGTACGGAAAATTATCCAAATGAACTTGTCTAGGAGAGAGCCAGCTTGTGACCCTGGAAAACAGACTTAGTTTTTTCATCTGTTAAATGGGAATAATACCCTACTATCCTCCACAGAGCTGCTCAAGTTTCAAATCACACCACTTAGGTAAAAACAATTTGTAGACTATAAGGCAAGATAATATTTACTTCAGTCTCATTGCTACTGATTCTAATTCCTAATAACCACGTTCATAGATGCAGTAGAGCATTATCTAGAAACACATGGGCTTTAGAGACAGACACACCAGAGTATAAATCCTACTCTCTCAACTACTAGTTGCATGGCCATTTCCTCACTGCTGTAAGAATTCTTAATAAGAGATAT